GTCACACATACGTTAGAGAACATGCAGACACATACATACAACACACAGACACAAATACACATTAGAGACACACGCAGACACACACACACATTAGAGAGACACACGCAGACACACACACACATTAGAGAGACACACACAGACACACACACACATTAGAGAGACACACACAGACACAAATACACATTAGAGAGACACACAGACACACATTAGAGAGACACAGACACATACACATTACAGAGACACACACAGACACACACACACACATTAGAGACACACACAGACACACACACATTACAGAGACACACACAGATACACACACATTAGAGAGACACACACAGACACACACACACATTAGAGAGACACACACAGACACACACACACATTAGAGAGACACACACAGACACACACACACACATTAGAGAGACACACACCGACACACACAGACATTAGAGAGACACACACAGACACACACACATTATACAGACACACGCAGACACACACACATTAGAGACACACACAGACACACACACATTAGAGAGACACACGCAGACACACACAGACACATACACACATTAGAGACACACGCAGACACACACATTAGACACACAAACACACATACACACACGCAACTAACACACTTCCCACCCAAACACGTCCCGTGCTCTCAGGGGCAAGTGCTGTTAGCGAGCTCCTATTTGGCAATGGGCAGAGACCTCGCAGAGACCTCGCAAGGGACCTCACAACGCCCAACATAAACAGGGCAATTACTGCGGCACGGGAGGGTGAGTGTGTCTGTGAGTGTCTGTGTGTGGGTGTCTGTGTGTGCGTGTGTCTGTGTGTGCGTGTCTCTGAGCGTGCGTGTCTCTGAGCGTGCGTGTGTGAACGTGTGTGTGTGTGCACGTACATGCATGTGAGTGTGTCTGTGCGACCCGAGTTCGGTTCCCGCTCACGGCCAAAATCAGTAACGATTCATCTGAACCGGTCCTGGGCCTCCCCTAGGTCGACTGAGCCTCAAATGAGTACATGGTGCGGTGTGTAAACATCGCCACTGGGGAGACAAAGGCGGCCGGGCGTGGTGTTGACCACCCACCCCCTCGTGTGCCGTGCCGGCCTTCATAGGTGCTCGCTAACAGCACTTGTCCCAAAAGTCCGTGAAGGCTACACGGGGGATCTTTGTCTTTGCGTGTCCGTGCGTGTTGTGGGAAGCTGTAGTGTAGCGGTTCGCACACTGCCCTCCGAACATAGTGAGTCTACATCGTCAGTGACGAATATGAGCACCGGTCCTGGGCCTCCCCTAGGTCTATTCAGCCTCAAATGAATACATTGGTGTGGTATGTAAACATCAACATTGGGGAGACAAAGGTGGCCGGGCGTGGTCTTGGCCACACCAGCGCTTGGGGGCCGTCCATAAATGACGTCACGCGATTTTGGACGATTTTTGACCCCCCCCCCCCTCCTCGTCACACGGCGTCACAAAAAGTCAGACCCCCCCCCCTCAAATATGACGTCATAAAGCTCTGCCCCCCCCCCCAAATAAAACATGCTTCAAATCGTTTTAAACTATTGTCATTGTAGTGCGTATTTAATGTGCCGCTGCACTCTGATGTTGTATTAGAAAACATTTATTAAAAAGTCTATCTAATTAAGTAGAACGTGTTTATATTTATTTAAAGTTGCGCATTTTGACGTGACGTCACATTTCTCAAACCCTCCCCCACTCGTCACACATCGTCACAGGTGCGTGACGTCATTTATGGACGACAACATGAGGGATCTTTGTCTATACTTGCTGTACTGTTGGGGAAAGTTCTGTTTGCGAGCCCGCACGGTCTTTGTCTTCCCGAACCTCATGGTTACACACTGCAACAACAGGCTACTCATTTGAGGCCGAGTCGACCTAGGCGGAGGTCCGGCCAGGACCCGTTCAAATATTCGCCCCCTTTATTTTACTCGTGAGCGCGAATCGAGAACCCCGGGTCGCCAGCTTGGTTGCGCGGTGCGCTGACCACTGCGCCACCGCTCCCCGAGAAGGCGGCGATGATACAACACGCGCACACGCACGCACGCGCACACACACACGCGCACGCACACACACACACACACGCGCGCGCACGCGCACGCACGCGCACGCACACGCGCGCGGGCACACACACACACATGCAAGGGCTGACACTTGCGCGCACACACACACAGACACATCTCCGCACAAGTCCCAAACACTGCCCCACGTCCCGTGGTCGCACGCAGAAGCTTATGCGAGTGCTGTCAGCAAGCACCTATGAAGGCCAAGTATTGACACACAGCTACACACACCCACTCTCTTAACTCCACGTGGGCGCCAGACCCATCCATACTGAAGTAGCTGACTAAGGAGACAATGGTACGCACGCTAACAGCATCTATACTGTATAGACTTTAATAGCCTGCTGGGGCAAGTGCTGCTGGCGAATAGCAGCACCTCCCCTACCTACGAAGGCCGACGAGGGGGTGGATGGCCAGCACCACGACCTGGCCGCCTGCTGAAGTTTAAACGCCCTAGCAAGCGCTGCTCATTTATGGCTGAGTCGACCTCGGGGAGGCACACAGGACCGGTCCAGATATTCGCCACTCATGTTGGTCGCAGACACACACACACACGACAAAGATCCCCCGTATAGCCTTATCAGACTGTTGGGGCAAGTGCTGCTAGCGATCATCAATTAAGACTTGGCACTGGAAATGAGGGGGCGGGCGGATAACACCACGCCCAGCCGCCTTTGTCTCCCCAGTGGCGATGTTTACACACTGCACCGGGTCCTCATTAAAAGGCGAGTCGACCTACGGTAGACCCAGGTCCGGTTCACATAATCGTCACCGGTGTTGGCCGTGAGCAGTAATCGTGCTCGGGCCGCCGGGTTCGGAGTGCAGCGTAGAGCTAACCGCTGCACCACCGCTCCACACACGGCCTGACAACCCACAGGTACACCGTAATCCAATATGACAAGTTGCTGACGAGGGCTGCAATGTTGTCACGGGCATAAGAACACAAAGACAAAGATCCCCTGTATAGATAATAAAAGGGGTTTTCCCCTTTTTTCTGGCAACAAAACTGAAACCTCTTTACGAGGATTCATGTCTGCATTAACCACAATACCTGCAGTCAACAGACTTTTTGGGCAACAGACTTTTTGGGCAACAGACTTTTGGGGCAAGTGCCGCTAGCGAGCACCTATGAAGGCCGAAATGGCACACAAAGGGGTGGGTGGCCAACACCACGCCCGCCCGCCTTTGTCTCCCCAGTCGCGATGTTTATACATCGCACCAGGTGCTCATTTGAGGCCGAGTCGACCTAAGGGAGGAGGCCCAGGACCGGTTCAGATAATCGCTATCACTGGTGTTTGCCGTGAGCACACACCCAGATATTGACACACACACTCTCACGCCTAACTCCATCCACCACGTGCTTGCACGCCCTACCAACTCAAGCCTCCCGTAAATCACGTGGCAACCCCCCACCCCCACTCTGAACCCCTCCCCTAGCCCCGCCCACTGTGAGAACAGGCGCTGCTCCTCCTCCCTGCAGCTCCCTTCTGCTCGCTCCTCCCTTCTCTCCCCCCCCCCCCCCCCTCATAATCAGAATCGCCCTCTCATCATCCCCGGGATCTTTGAAAAGGAGCTTTAAAGCTCATCGGATTCCTCCAGTATCAATATTCTGATCATCCCCGACATCTTGGCACGGTCATTTATTCTCCACCTCCTCCCCACTACACGACTCCGCTCGCCACAAGTATTGACACACGCGCATGTATTGACAGATGCGCACACACACACACACAAGTGCACGCACACACACACACAAGTACACACACCCCCGCATAAGCCCACGTTAGGCGAGCCGTATCCATACTACAGTAGCTAAGGCAGCAGCAATGATGCCATGGCCCATTGTTGTATAGGCGAGCTGAACAGCACACAACAAAGGCAAAGATAACCCGTATAGCCTTGAACAGACCCTTGGGCCAAGAGCTGTTAGCGAGCAGCATCTATGAAGGCCAACACGGCACACGAGGACTACGCCCGGCCGCCTTTGTCTCCCGCTGTTTACTCACACCACCAGGTACTCATTTAAGGCTGAGTCGACCTAGGGGAGGACCAGAACCGGTTCAAAATAATCGTCATCAGTGTTGGCCGTGAGCGGGAATCGAACTCTGGGTCTTCGCCACGAGCTGGAATCGAACTCGGGTCACCGGGATCGTAGCGCAGTGCGTTAACCGATGCGCCACCGCTCTCCACAAACAGCACACATAGACGCCCCCCCTCTCCTCCAACTCCACGTGGGCACACAACTCAAGTAGATGACAAAGATCCCCCATATAGCCTTCACAGACTTTTGGGGCAAGTTCTATTAGCGAGCACCTCAAGGCCGGCATGTACGTATGTTGAACTTCTTTCGCACCGCACGTAGCCAACCGTGCTATTCGAAGGAATCGGTATGGCACACGGTGCGGTTGGGGTGGATAGCAACCACGCCCGGCCACCTTTGTCTCCCCAATGCTGATGTTTACACACCGGCATGGCGACACAAAGATCCCCCATATAGCCTTAACAGACTCTAGGGGCAAGTGCTGTTAGCGAGCACCTATGAAGACCGGCCCGGCACACTGCGGGGGTGAGTGGCCAGCACCACGCCTGACCGCCTTTGTTTCCCCAGTGACGATGTTTACCGCACACTGCACCAGGTACTCATTTGAGGCCGAGTCGACCTAGGGGAGGCCCAGAACCGGTTCAAATAATCGTCACCGGTGTTGGCCGTGAGTTGAGAATCGATCTCGGGTCGCCGGGTTCGTACCAACGACAAAACGCACTCACACACGCACACGCCTCCACACAGCTCCTACCGAAATATTTCATCGATAAATTCTACCGAATCCATACCGCGTTGCGACGGCGTCCGGAGGAGGAGGGTGGAGGAAGGAGGCGCAGCTGGGACTGACCCAACCTGACGGAGGCGGCAAGGATACAACCGGAGCGCTCCGTTCCTCGTGCCGATCGCCAGGATCTTCTGGACCGGGTCGAACGCCAGCGCCGTGGGCTGGTGCGGAAATCCATGGCGCACGGTCTGGCGTGCAAGGGGCAAAAGGTTGCACGCAGGAGAGGGGTGTGAAGGGAGAGCTCACGTGATGTTTTTGTGCGGGGCAAAGTGCTGTCACACGAGGACTTCGGTGTGGATGGCGCCACGCCCGGCCGCCTTTGTCTCCCCCACGGTTGCCGATGTCACGTACAAAAAAAATGATCTCTGAAAGACGGAGTCGACCCCCCGGAGGAGGCCCAAGACCGGTTTTAGATATCCGTCACTGACGTTGGCCGTGAGCGCGATCTCGAACTCGGGAATGTAGCGCAGTGCGCTAACTAATGCGCCGCCACTCCCCACATACACACACATGCACACACAACACATTCACAACACCCACCACACGACACACACATGCACACACAACACATTCACAACACCCACCACACAACACACACACACATGCACACACAACACATTCACAACACCCACCACGCGACACACACACACATGCACACCAACACATTCACAACACCCACCACGCGACACACACACACATGCACACACAACACATTCACAACACCCACCACACGACACACACACACACATGCACGTACAACACATTCACAACACCCACCACGCGACACACACACACATGCACGTACAACACATTCACAACACCCACCACACGACACACACACACATGCACACACAACACATTCACAACACCCACCACACGACACACACATGCACACACAACAAATTCACAACACCCACCACGCGGCACACACAGGGATACACACAGAGACACACAGGGATACACACAGAGATACACGCAGAGACACACACAGGGATACACTCAGAGACACACACAGAGACACGCAGAGATACACACGGAGACACGCAGAGATACACACGGAGACACGCAGAGATTCACACGGAGACACACAGACACACACAGGGATACACACAGAGACACAGAGACACGCAAGGATACACACAGAGACACGCAGGGATACACACAGAGACACGCAGGAATACACACAGAGACACAGACACACACAGACACACACAGGGATACACACAGAGACACACAGGAATACACACAGAGACACGCAGGAATACACACAGAGACACGCAGGGATACACACAGAGATACACACAGAGACACGCAGGAATACACACAGAGACACGCAGGAATACACACAGAGACACGCAGGAATACACACAGAGACACAGACACAAACAGATACACGCAGGGATACACGCAGATACACACACTGGGATACACAGAGACACAGAAACACGGAGACACGCAGATACGCACACTGGGATACACACAGAGACACAAAGGGATACACGCAGAGATACACACAGAGACACGCAGAGATACACACAGAGACACACGTATAGACACATCTATACAAGTACAAGCACACAGACACACAACAAAGACAAAGACCCCCCGTATAGCCTGAACAGACTGTTGGGGCAAGTGCTGTTAGCGAGCACCTACGAAGGCCAGAACGGCTCTCGACGGGGTGGGCAGGCCAGCACCACGCCCGGCCGCCTTTGTCTCCCCAGTGGCGATGTTAACCGAGACGTGAGCAGGACACGTAGCGCAGTGCGCTAACCACTGCGTCACCGCTCCCCCACTATACACACACATACAAAGATCCCCCGTGTAGCCTTAACTGTTGGGCGGCAAGAGCGCACACACACAGACACACGCCACTAACACCCCAATAAGCCGCACACTGATAGGTAATATCACGTACCCACGAATTCACATCGCAAATTGCTAATCGTGTTAACACAGTGAAGGGGGGGGGGTGTTCCGTGGGGGGTGGGGGGGGGTCACGAACGATTCAAATGAATGAGCCAACGAACGACACAGCAAATGAACGCAACACAATCACACGTTCGATACAGATGGAAGGGAGTGCACGGGGGTCCATCAGCTCCTTCACCCCCCCCCCCCCCATCTGCTCGCACCTTGCAGCACGCGGCGACAGCTGACGATGTTGGATACAGTATTCATATGATACCCCACCCTCTCCTTCCCTTACACACCTCTTCCCCCAAATATTTCCAAGCCCGATCTCTCTGACACATCGAGCCCCCCGCCCCCCGCCCCCCTTACCTTGCAAAGCTGAAAATGATCGGAGCCGAGGCGTTCGTGGATCTCGTTCTCGGGCTTGGCAGCCTGCGGGCTCGCCGGGGTGGTGAGTCCGTCCAGCACGCGCTTGATTTTCCTCATCGCGCGCCGAGGACGACGGGCGCCGTGCGGGCACCGCGCCGCCAGCGGCCACTGCAGCAGTCGCAGCCGACGAGGTTCTTGAAGCTGCTGCTGCTGCTGTTGTTGCTGCCGCTGCTGTTGTTGTTATTGTTGTTGAAGCTGCTGCTGTTGTTGTTGAAGATGCGGCTGCTGTTGTTATTGTTGTTGAAGCTGATGCTGCTGCTGTTGAAGCTGCGGCTGCTGCTGCTGTTGTTGTTGAAGCTGATGCTGCTGCTGCTGTTAATGCTGCTGTTGAAGCTGCTGCTGTTGATGCTGCTGCTGCTCTTGAAGCTGCTGCTACTGCTGTAGATGCCGCTGTAGATGCTGCCGCAGCTGTCGTTGCCGTTAGGCGCACGAGCTACGCACAGCGCGTACTGTCTCTCCTTCTTCCTCGATGCCGCTTCTTACCACTCCGTGCCGAGACCTCTCCTACCCCCCACCCCCAACCCCGAAAATAAAAACCACCACCACCACCAGCTCCGGCCCTACCAGCCACCCACCACCACCCAGCCGGCGCCGCGTTATACCGCGTCGGTGCCGCGGAGAACGACGCCGTTGGTTCGACACCCCATGCCGCGTCTCTGGCCGGCTCGCTCGGTCGTGAGCCGAGACCGAACCTCGGGGCTCCGATCGACCCAATTAGCAGCCCCCACCCTCCCCTACCCCCCCCCCCCCGCCGCCGACTGCGACCAGCGATGGAGCCTCGGAGCTTGATTTGAGCGCCGTCCCGGTTGGATTCCCGATACGGGTTGTGATGCAGCGCGCCCCTGAGCCAAATCGAATGAAGTCAGACCGGTCGCGCAATGTCTCCTGCGACGTCTCGCTCGCTCGCTCGCTCTCGCTGTCTCCTCTCCGGCGTGAGCACGGGCAGTCAGCAGCAACGGGTAACAATATCTGTGTGCATCGTATCGCCACTAACGTTTGCTGTGCCGACTGGTAGCCCGGATAGGGAAGAGACGGAAGGAGAAGGGATGGGAGGGAGGGTTGGGTTGGTCATTGATGGCGGTGGGAGGGATGTTCTTTCTGCTGGGCGTGCCCTGCAAAATCGCTCTCACCCCTCTCGGCTCTCTCACTCTCCCCTCGGAGTCTGCCTGTGCCACGCGCACTCTCTCTCTCCGGCCCTCTCACTCTCTCTCCCCTTTCTCTCCGTTTCTCTCTCCGTCTCTCTCACTCACTTACTCACTCTCCGTCTCACGCTCGCCCCCTGCTGGTAGCAGCGAGAGGAGTTACCGCGCCGTGAGAGCGCCGCTGTCTGTCCGCGTGGCGACCGCTGAGAGATGTCCCACTGCCAACGCGGCCAGGCAATACCCCCCCCCCCCCACCGAGTTGATGATCACGCGTGATGTGATGATGATCACGCGTGATGTGATGATGATCACGCGTGATGTGATGATGATCACGCGTGATGTGATGATGATCACGCGTGATGTGATGATGATGATCACGCGTGATGTGATGATGATCACGCGTGATGTGATGATGATCACGCGTGATGTGATGATGATCACGCGTGATGTGATGATGATCACGCGTGATGTGATGATGATCACGCGTGATGTGATGATGATCACGCGTGATGTGATGATGATCACGCGTGATGTGATGATGATCACGCGTGATGTGATGATGATCACGCGTGATGTGATGATGATCACGCGTGATGTGATGATGATCACGCGTGATGTGATGATGATCACGCGTGATGTGATGATGATCACGCGTGATGTGATGATGATCACGCGTGATGTGATGATGATCACGCGTGATGTGATGATGATCACGCGTGATGTGATGATGATCACGAGTGATGTGATGATGATCACGCGTGATGTGATGATGATGATGATGATCACGCGTGATGTGATGATGATGATCACGCGTGATGTGATCGCGTGATGTGATGATGATGATGATCACGCGTGATGTGATGATGATGATGATCACGCGTGATGTGATGATGATGATGATCACGCGTAATGTGATGATGATGATGATCACGCGTGATGTGATGATGATCACGCGTGATGTGATGATGATGATCACGCGTGATGTGATAATGATGATCACGCGTGATGTGATGATGATGATCACGCGTGATGTGATGATGATCACGCGTGATGTGATGATGATGATCACGCGTGATGTGATGATGATGATCACGCGTGATGTGATGATGATCACGCGTGATGTGATGATGATGATCACGCGTGATGTGATGATGATGATCACGCGTGATGTGATGATGATCCCGCGTGATGTGATGATGATGATCACGCGTGATGTGATGATGATCACGCGTGATGCGATTATGATCACGCGTGATGATAATGATGATCACGCGTGATGATAATGATGATCACGCGTGATGATAATGATGATCACGCGTGATGTGATGATGATGATGATCACGCGTGATGTGATGATGATGATGATCACGCGTGATGTGATGATGATCACGCGTAATGTGATGATGATGATCACGCGTGATGTGATGATGATGATGATCACGCGTGATGTGATGATGATGATCACGCGTGATGTGATAATGATGATCACGCGTGATGTGATGATGATCACGCGTGATGTGATGATGATGATCACGCGTGATGTGATGATGATGGTCACGCGTGATGTAATGATGATCACGCGTGATGTGATGATGATGATCACGCGTGATGTGATGATGATGATCACGCGTGATGTGATGATGATCACGCGTGATGTGATGATGATGATCACGCGTGATGTGATGATGATCAGGCGTGATGTGATGATGATCAGGCGTGAAGTGATGATGATCACGCGTGATGTGATGATGATCACGCGTGATGTGATGATGATGATGATGATCACGCGTGATGTGATGATGATCACACGTGATGTGATGATGATGATCACGCATGATGATAGATGATGATCACGCATGATGATAGATGATGAGCTATAATGATCATCACGCGTGATCATGACGCGCGTGAGGATGAGCTATCATCATCATCATGATAGCTCATCATCGCAGTGGCTGACATCGTCGTCGTAATCACCACACGTGGGTGTTTTGTTTGTTATTTTATAGCAGCAGTCAGATCATCGACTCCAAATCTACAAGGGGCATCGTCAGGCTCCGAGATCGAGTCCACGATCCTCGCACGTAACCAGGCGGCGAAGATGCCATTCCAGATAACAACGACGAGAGTCGTGTCAACTCGTAACGCGCCACCGCCGCCGCTCGCTGGCTTAGAGAGAGGGAACGGAGGACGACTCGGAGGCGCCAGGAAGGAGGAGGAATCAGAGACGAGGAGAGCGGAGGCGGAGCCACGCGGCGGTGAGGAGCTACCAAACATTCAACCAAGCTCTGCGGTTCTCCATGTATGAAGTTGTTATCGGCCAATTAATGAGTGCGTATTTATGTGTGTGTTATTTTGTTCTGTATTTCCGTGTGGAAGGATTCTGGGCCTCTCCGTCCGTGCAGTCGTATAAACGAGTGCTGTTACCTGGTTCGGTGGGTAAAATATCAGCACTGGGGAGAAAAAGGCGGTCGGGCGTGGTGCAGGTCACAGCACAACCCCCCCCCCCCCCACCACCTCAATGTCGCAATTATCTCAAATCCCCGCCGCCTTTGTTTCCACTCAGCAGTATACATTTGTACACGTTCGTCTGTGATGAGCAAGTGGCGTGTGGTGGGGTAAAGTGTGGGTACCGAGGCGTCTGACCAGCGTGAACAATTCCCTTCTGGAGTCAAGAGGAGGACTCTCGAGCTTCCTCCCGAGTGGAGTCCCTATCGCCAGCAGGGGTGTGAGCAGGGGAATTGCAGGGCTGCGCCTGTGCATCAGACGATTGTGGCATGTGCTGTTAGCGAGCACCTATGAAGGCCGGCACGTCACACGAGCCAACACCACGCCTGGCCGCCGTCTCCCCAGTGGCGATGTTCGTTTTGATTTAAACACTGCACCAGATATTCATTTGAGGCTGAGTCGACCTCGGAAACAAAACGAACCTCGGCTCGTCGGGTTCGTAGCGCAGCGCGCTATAACCACTACAACTACCGCTCCCCACAGCTATAACGCCACGAGCCCTCTCCGGGTCCATTCATGAGTCAGTCTGGGCCAGCTCCGAGTGGCAGTGTTATCTGTCGTGAACACGTGGGCCATTCCTGGCAGATCGTGAGTGACATTTTTTTTTAAATGTATATATATATTTCTCTCTCTCTCTCTCCCCCTTGGTAAATTTTTTGATGTCGTTGTTGTTGGGAATGCGCAAGAGAGAGTACGTCCGCCCGGGGAGACGGAGCTGTGAAATCAGCTTCGTGTGCGTGGAACAGATAGCGCGTGGGGTGGGTCTCGTGGAAGGTGGCGGCTAGGGGGAGGCTTTCATCCAGCGGTGGATTGAACATGGCTGCTGACGATGCTCATGGTTTCACTTTCTGGCAATTGACGAGATGGCCCAGGTTTTGTTTTGTATCTTCAGGGTTGGTGGATCACGACGAGATTACGAGTCTCCAATGGTGAAGTATGGTCAAACACCTCCCCCCCCCCCCCCCCCCCCACCGCCGGCCCGGTGAACCCGGTGAACCGAGTTCGATTCCCGCTCACGGCTACCAAAGATCAGTGACGATTATCTGAACCGTTCATGGGCCTCCCCTAGGTCGACTCAGCCTCAAATGAGTACCTGGTGCGGTGTGTAAACATCGCCACGAGGGCAAATCAGAGCGCCGGGCTGGACGGCACCGTTCCACCAACAATGTGAGCCACCAAATCGTCACTGCTTGCTCCGTTTGGTGTCCAACGATTCGGCTCCACATTCAGACGGCGCCTCTCCTCTGTTTGTGTGTGTGTGGGGAGCGGTAGCGTCGTGGTTAGCCCCACGCTGCGCTACGAACCCGGCCACCCGGGTTCGATTCCCGCTCACGGCCAACACCATCGGCGATTATCTGAACCGCTCCTGGGCCTCCCCGAGGTCCACTCAGCCTCAAATGGGTACCGTCGCCACTAGGGAGACAAAGGCGGTCGGGCGTGGTGCTAGCCACCCACCTCCTTCGGTACCGTCTCGGCCTTCATAGTTGCGCCCTAACAGTACTTGCCCCGACAGTGTGTTCAGGCTATACAGGGGATCTTTGTCCTTGTGGCCATTAGCTATGTAGGGAGCGGAAGCGC